CACAGTTTCGCGTGATCCACGTACCCGAGGAGTAATGTCCGGTCACAACCTAACCTTGCAGCCGCACGCATCACAGGAGACGACAAGGGCACCAACAGCAGCGCTCCAGAGATGGACGAGGCGAAGCCGCGTCCAAATTAGCAATAAGTACAGCGTTCGCGTTCCGAGGATGGGGTCACCGGCAGCAGCCGTTATCGATTTTCGTTTGTTTTGATGACTTAGGAGGAAGGAGAATGACCTCATCCGGCGCATGAGTAGATATAAGGATGTTTAGTTTCAGCGACGCAGGTTCAAGGTGGCCTGGACGTTCCACGGTGCGGAAAAATGACGTACAGCGAAACGGATGGACCGTCCGCACTTTTATTAAATAGGCGACACGCGCGTAAAATGCACAGGCCTGATCGTTAAGACAGAGTTGCGAAACACGACACGCGGGTCAGAACCAAAATCTGGCCAGAAATAAAAAAGATGGTGAACCGTCGCGAAACTTTTGAACCGACGGCTCGGCGGTCAAATAATACGCCCCTGACTAAAGCGGGGGGCCCTCGAATCGCGCATACGGGGTTGGCGACGCGATGCGGGAACGCGGAAAGGAGATGGGGAACCGTCCGCGAACTCGCGTTAGGGACGTCATCCGCGGGAGTCGAGCACTCCTGACATCGGTGGGCACTTCGCCGAGACCGCGGAGCCGGGTCCCGGTGAGATCCGTAGCCCGGGTACCGAAATGGCGGACCGTCCGGGAACTCGCCCCAGGTGAGTCATCCCCGGGAAAATGATGTCCCTGATTAACGGGGATGTCACCCCGAGCGTCCATATCCGGTCGCCGGCAAGATCGAACAGCCGGCGACGAAGTTACAAAACCGTCCGCCATCTCGCGACCTGGACATCATCCGCGGGGAAGAGCTGTGGGAGGAGGTGTACCAGGTGCGAAATAGGTGTCAGGAGGGGTCGGCGTCGTTGGCAGGCCCGAAGGAACAACGCGACGTGACCACCGGGAGGTCGGATAAATAGCCGAGCGTCATCCGCGGGAAAAGACCAGCGGGTCACGTTGGGTGGGACCCGGTACGATCGGGGAGCGGGTCGCCGCCGGCGTACGATCGCCCGGACGCGAGATACGGCGACATGTCGCCGGAACTCGAGGACCGGACGTCGTCCACGGAAAGTGAGCCCGGAATCGGGCTGAGAAGGACCGCCGAAACGAGACCAGGGGGTCGCCGTCAACGGCGGAGGTCGCGATCGCGACGTAGACATCTTCGTCGAGAAGTCGACCCGGGGTCGTGTAAAGGGACATAGGAGAAGGCGTGCGCGGGGGTCGGCGCCGTCGTAAGTCGATAAATGCGGGAGTTGAAAAACCACTACCCGGGGCCCGTCTCGGGACGTCGAGTAGATGGTACTCCAAATGGAAATTTCCACCGCGGACCTAGGACACTGCGGGAAGCGGGCAACATGTATTGTAACTGCGTAGCGGCGAACATCTGGCGCACACCTGTCGGCCCAAAAGTCGTAAACAACCATTGTTAACGCGGCAAGTGGAAAATTACCGCGAGGAGAAAGCGACCGAATACCCGATAGTGGGGGCAAAAAGCACCGTAGGTAGGGAGCCAGAGCGAAGAGAGAGACTCGAGGCAGTCTGTCGGGGATGTTCGAGCGTGTAACACGTAATCAACTTCGCTCTGTTTCGTCGCGAAAAGTCACCGCAATCGTCATCCAAGTGCTATAATTACGGCTCGCCAACATTCGTAACAACCGGCAACGCCCGCGGAACGCGTTAATTGTCGTCTTTACAAAGACGAACGGCCTTTTTAGACCGAAATAAGATCGTGCGTCGAAGATAAACGGGGCGTATGTGCCCACGTATCCGAGCGTCCGACATCTTGTGTGACTTAAAGTTTTGTGAACAACCAATACTGGAAATCAATATAATTGAATAAATTAAACATCCTTTTCATAAAAGATTTCGAAAATTTATTAAATTGGACTTACCTTATTCTTACCTGATCCATGGGCGTCGATCACTCGAAGTCACTCGTTGATCCTGGATTCCGGTGGCAGCATTGATCCTGACCGATGACGGCGATGATCCAGCGGTGGCAGGAATCTGAAAAAAGAAGAGAATTAGTCTAATTGATGATTCGAGAGATCGTTCGATACTTACCTTCTCGGTGGTTTAAAGGTCAAACCGAGTGGCGACCGTTGATTTCTAAGGACACGTAGCGTTGATTCGTGGCTCTAATAGTACCGTCCGGTTACAACCTAACCTTTTTTTTTTTGTTTCGTGGAAGAGGAAAAATGCTTCGCGCATTCTACCGGGGGCCGTCCCCCAGGATATGTGGGGCTTGCACCCACTAAAAAACCTCTCCCAAACATTTAGCACGCTGGACAACAGTTGCAACACGCGGGAGACTCGAGGTATTACGTCACGTGCCACAACAGTCCTCTCGCAGGGCGACAGAAAACGTAAACCGGAGACGAGATCACACGAAGGATCAAACAGGGGCGCCGTGGAACCCGCCGGGATGACACACTAGTCGAAAGTTTGGCACAAGTGCCAACGTTCGACCGCCTCGGAGGTCCTCATGATAGTGACCGCGGGCAGTCATATCATTGAGGACGCTCTTCATTGACTGCGAGGCCATTCCATAGGGAATCACGGACGTCCCTAGGAAAACGCACAGGGCCAAAGGACATGCACGTACCAAACGAACAGGAACCCCCCTCCCGGAGAGAGGTTCCACACAAATCAAAAACACGAGCGATGCTCGTTAACATTGAGGGTTAACATAAACCCAACACCGGGGAACACATTCGGACTAAGTCCGCATCACGGGCCGTTACAACGGCTATAGTAGGGATCACGCCCGTCCCGCCCCCAGGCCCCCCAGAAGGGGGGGAGAGGGAGAGGAAGGGGCGCGAAAAGAGAAGAGTTTCCAAGAGCCCCGCCGCAGGCCGAGGAAACCCAGAAGGGCGACCACCCGCACCCCGCAGCCACAACGGGGCCTCCGGCAAACCCACTGCGGAGCAGTGGGGCCGGAGCCCCGCAAGCACAGCGGTGAGCGGCGAGACCACGGGCGACCGACCCCCAGAGAACCCCCAACCCATCGCAGCGGAGCTCCCGGAAGAGATAGTTGGATAGATTTGTGTATAATACAAACTAACACTATTCTAAGTTACAGGGCCATCCAGCCGCCCACAGGGAAACCCGGACGCCGACCGCCCCCCACCCACCACCCCCCAGGGATCCGGGAACGTCGCCTAAGCGACGCACCGGACCCCAGGAGAAGGAGAGCCAGAACCGGCCCGCGCCCGAGCAAACCAGGAGCGACGGGAGAACCCCGTCCGCACGCAAAATCGCAAAGAATAAATAAATCGCACATAGAGATAACCGCGCGCAATGACAAAGCCGCAATGAAAACGCAAGCAACGCGACTATCCCTGATCAAGGGTCTGCTGCTGTCTCCTCCGTTCGTCCTCTTCCTTACGTTGGAGAACCCGTTCGACGAAAACCGAGAACGCATTCCAACGTTCTTTAGAGTTACAAATTCTTGCGATAATGTTTCTCAAAGAGAGGTCCTGTCCAATCACAGCGGTGAGTTCGCCACGTTCTATGGCCCAAAAGTGACACACCTCCAAAGTGTGCTCCGGGGTGTCCTCCTCCGAATCACAGTACCGGCATATCGGAGAATCCTTCTTACCGATTTTATTCAGGTAGGTGCCGAAGCATCCGTGTCCTGTTAGGAATTGTGTAATCCTATATGTGAGGAAGCCGGCACTGCGATCCAACCAATCGTCGAAGCTAAGAGCGATAGCTTCCCGAGTTCTCCTACCGGGAAGATTAGCGCGTGTGACATGAGTGCGCCATTGATCGCGCAGCGCGTCCCATTCTTCCTGACGTACGGCAGGAGCCGACACCTCGTTGTAGGTCCCGTTCTCTTTCATCCTACGATGACGAAGATACGTTCTCCTCAAGAACTCCGCGTATAGGTGAAGAGGCGGAACACGGGCCAGCAACGTGGCCGCCTCATACGAGACCGTACGATATGCCATAGTAGTTCTCAACGCTGAGAGACGAAGTGCGCGACGCATCAATCTCTGCTTGTTCTCAGAAGCTAGGAACTCTTCACTCCAGATAGGGGCGGCGTAAAGCGCGATGGATGTTGCCACGGAGAAATATAAACGACGCTTATTCTCTACGGGCCCTCTGAGATTTGGTAGTATTGCGCACAAAGCACGATTTACCTTCGAAATCTTCTCGGCGACGTAGTTCACATGTGCATTGAAGGCCCAATTCTTGTCGATGATAACTCCAAGATACTTTATACTAGTAGAGATTTTGATGTTCTGTCCCTCATAGGCGAAGACTGAGTTTCGGGGACAGTGACCGAAAAATACGGCATCTGTCTTGGGCCAAGAAACAGACAGGCCAAGGTCTCTTATGTTTATCATAAGTCTATCGAGGCACTCTTACGCGAGGGCACACGCGGAGTCAAAGTCTTCTTCGGCCACGAGCAACAAAATATCGTCGGCGTAGCACACGACGTGGGAATCGCCTGGAAGCAGGGTGCGCAACACCTGATCGAATCCCAGGTTCCATAACGGAGGACCCAGCACCGAGCCCTGGGGAACCCCTCTGTTAACCCGCCTGGTGCGTCTGGTGCCGTCTGACGAGGTGTATCTGATCGTTCTATTTCTCAGATAGTCTTCTATAATTCGTCTCAAGTATTGCGGAAGACGCTTGTTCCTCAAAGCAGCCCTAATCCTTGAGTGTTTTATGGAATTAAACGCGTTTTTAATATCCAATGAAACGGCAAGTACAACTCGACCGTTCGTGCGGGCCTCAGTAATTATGTTTTTCACCAGAAAAAGAGCGTCTGTCGTAGAACGCATCTTACGGAAGCCAAACTGGTTCACCGAGAGATCATGTCTGGGATTCTGCTCAAGATGGTTGGCCAAGCGATTGGCAATGACGCGTTCAAAGACTTTCCCAGTCTCGTTTAACAGGCAGATTGGCCTAGCTTTAGGAACTTCACCGCGAGGTGGAATATCACCCTTAGGAATCAAGACAAGGTCCGCAACCTTCCAATTGGATGGGAAAACCCCAGACTGCATACAAATGTTAAAGCTGGCTGTTAATCGGTGCACCATGCACGGAGGCAACTTTTTAAGGACGGTCGCCTTGAAACCGTCGGGACCAGGCGCCGTGCTTGTAGTCTTTTTAGCTGCAATTGCCTCCTCCACTTCGTCAGAAGTGATTGGGGTTCTCCCCGTCTCGCAGTCTCCCAGGTTGACCCGCGAAAGCTCTCTACCAGGTGGAAACAGATCGTCCAGCAAACGACTCAAAACCTCCGGCTCGAGGGTGGAGCTAAGCGCAGGAGTGGGCTTCCTAAGTTTACCCATAACCAGTTTATAAGGAAGACCCCACGGGTCATCTCTGAGTGTATCAATGAGCTCCTGCTATGCAACGGACTTAGCGTTTTGGATCTCGTGTTAGAGACTCTGAGTAGCAGCCATATACGCAGTCCTCTTGGCCTCCAGAACCACCGGGGAGTTTCTGCGTCTACCGCGGGTCCAGGCCCTCCTCGCGGCGATAGCCTCGGTTCTCAAGTGCGCAATTTGGTCGTTCCACCAATGGGCCCTATCTACTCTGGCAGCGCGTAAGCGAGGGACCGCCGCCTGACAAGCATCGTAGATGCAATTGTTAATCCACTTGTCTGGGCCCACTCTGTTAAGATATTCCGGGTCACCAGGAGTAACTGCGCACTTGCATTCGATGGCCTCCTGAAATAGCCCGACATCCATCCTCCTGAAATTCCACCTTCGGGGAAGAGATGGTGTTATACGCCGAGAAAGAGAGTCCGTAATTACGAAAGAGATGTAAAGATGGTCCGACATGGACTCTAAGTCTTCACGGACCGACCAATCGCGCACTCTATTAAATAGGTCAGGGGAGGTCCAAGTGAGGTCAATTATCGAAGTTCCCTGATGACTCGAAAACGTGGGCTGATTACCTCGATTCACAAGCCTCCAATCGAGTTGCGACGCAAGCTCCTCAAGAGCGTCGCCTCTGACGTTGGATGTATTTGAACCCCAGGAAACAGAGTGGGCATTAAAGTCCCCGCAGATAATAAGCTTGTTATTGTGAGCCACGCCGGAACAGATCGTGGATAACTCCTCCAAAAAGTCCGAAAATTCCGTGAGGTTTACGTTAGGAGAGATATAACAGGAGAGGAAGTAAAACTCTCCCAATCTAATCAAAACGCAGTGTCTTCCGCGGGCCTCCAACGTGGCGGGGCGCGTAATGGCCCTGTTGTTGACGTAAATAGCCGCGAGGCCGTCATGACTATGAAACCATAGCTGGTATGGGCTATGTAATCTGGCGGGTTCCGAGATCGCGCAGACAGCGGCCCCTATCTCTCTAGAGTGGTGGACAAGGAGGTCCTGGGCCTCCTTGTTACCGTTCAAATTTAGCTGTAGACACAGGGTCATCTCTGTGCCGGCGCTCGACCGTCGGGCACGGGTTCCCTACGTCTTCCCCGAATCGGCTCAACGCTCGTACAAATGTTAAGTGAACCCAGCCGGTGGTCGCTGAGTCTTCCGGCCTCCCTGCAAATGACACAGCGGGGATCCTCCCTGCAATCACCGATTTGGTGACCACGTTCGCCACATCTAAAACAAGCGCCCATTCGGTCCTCCGGAAAATTGCACGTAGTGCGGACATGACCATAGCGCCAACACTTAAAGCACTGTACAGGCCTCGCCTCCAGTAACTCAACTCGGGCAATGGTCCAACCAATTTTGATTTTATTTGTTGCCGAAATTTTTATGGCTGCGGAGAGAGGGCATTTAACCCAAACGGAATTGAATCCATTGTTCATTTTTCGAATGTTACCTAGTTTGACGAGGTGTTCGTCGCAGTCACCAACCACTGAAACTTCGTTCAGTATCTCTGTCGGCGAAATGGAGTCATCGAAACTCCAAATTCGCAGTTCACCCATAGTAGTAGGACGAGTGATGCGGATATTTTTGACGTCAAGAGCTTCCCTGAGTTTACCAACGAGTAAGTCAGCCTTGGTAGTGCCGTCTGCGCCCGGGATCTCGATGATAATCCCTCCATTGATACCGCGTCTAATCTTGGAGGTCTCAATTCCAAGGGTATCTAAATTTATATTTTCGCGGGCCTTCTTCAAGATGTCAGCATAGCTAACGTCATCCTTGAGACTCGTAATAGACACCGCGGCAGTTTTAGGCGGTCTACGTAAGCGAATGGTCGAACGAGGAGCGTCTCCGAAAACTCCCCGTCGAGATCCTTCTTTCCGAGTCGTCGCTTCAATAGGCGGTGCAGAGGTCTGCGGACCCATAGACTCCCCATCCGAGACACCAGAAGTCTCTGTGTCGTTCCTAAAGAATGTCTTCTTTGTCCTTTTCTTCTTAGGAGGTTCCTCCGGTTTCGAACCGAATCTGGCACGAAGTACCTCCATGTTGGCCACCAGTTGCTGGATCTGTTGATTCATGCATTCCAACATATGGTACGAATCGGTATCCTCTTCCGGGTAGATAGCATTAGTCTCTTTGTCCGTTTTCTTGTTTCCGCCGGAAGGAGATCTCTTCTTGTATGAGACAGGAACCCCAATTGCATCCGTTTCCGATCCCGAGGCACTAGTGGGATATTTACGCAACTTGACAGTTCTGTCTCGTAGTATCTCCGAAGAGACGACTCTAGGTTTTCTCTGTGAGAGAGGGGGAAAGTCTTCGACGCGAGTTAATGGTTCCCCAGTGTGTGTCTTGCGAGTATCAGCAGAGTTGTTTTCAGAAACCTTTAAAGGAGATCCTCTCATGTTTGCGGAGTCTCTCATACTTTTCATCTCTCTACGGAGCATTTCCATGTCCTTGCGGAGATCTTCGTTCTCTTTACGGAGAATGGAGTACTCCTTCTTCTGGAGCTCCTGCTCGCGAGTGACTTTGCGCAGTTGTGTGGTCAGATTTTTGTTCTGCAATTCCAGATCTGCCACGTCACCAGCGGCACCCAAACGTTCACGATAGATGTCTATTATTTCGCATATATTTGAGATCCCATCTCTGAGGTATCCAGAAAAGTTTCCTTTAATATTTTTACTATTATTTCTAATAATCTCCATTTTCTGGAGACATTCAGTAGCGCATTTGTTCAGTTGGTCCGAATCATAAGAACGTAGATTATTCGCAGCCACCGGTTGAATGGAGAGCCTGTGTTTGGTTGTTCGCACCGCAGTGTAGATCTCATTCTCCGAGGTTGTGTATCTTCTTTTCAGGGGTTTAGCCGTGTTTTCCGGAGAGTCCGAGGGAAATCTCTCCTTCCTCTTTTCCCTATTTATGGTAGGTAAAGGGATATCCTCGTCATCATCATCGTCATCGATCATGACCACGTCTCCCACCAATCGCTGGTCACGATGCACCGACCCCTCCGAATCGGATACACCGGGAGGAGCGAAAGTAGGATCGGTCCTTACGTCATCCGAAGCCTGTGGATCCTCGGTTGTTATAGTATCATCAATAATCTGTCTGGCAAGATTAACACCTTTATCATAATCTTCTTCTTCCATCTCCACCACCTTGGTGGCTACCTCCGTCGTAATTGAGTCAGCAACTGCGCCTGTCCAATCAGGACGCAGTGCTATTTGTGTATTGAGCCCATCGCTTGATTTAAGGACAAGCCCATCGACACGGGGTTCGCTGGGACTACAACCCCCCCGCGTCGGTCTCTGGGTCTCCGAACCCCCTGAGACGGTAAGTTTCTTCTCTTTCTTCGTACCTTTCATGTTGTTTGTTTCATTATTTCAGGGGTGTGCTCCCCTTAGGACTAATATTCGGATGCACCTCGTCCATGGCGCATCCTAGGACCGCTCATTAAAAATTGCGCAGTGTCCGGCTGCGAATCTTGCAATCGGATGTGAGACTGCCAGTTTCATTATCCCACGCAGAGAAGAACAGCACGAGGGATTGATTTAAGAATAATCGTCAAAGATTATTCAATATTAGACTCCAGAGAGTCAAACGTCCATAGTAGTGACTAATATTTAGTCTTTACCCATATATACATCTATATATTTCTATATATACAACTCAGTATGAACGATTTAAAAATAATCGTCGAAGATTATTCAATATTAGACTCCAGAGAGTCAAACGTCCATAATAATGACTAATAATTTAGTCTTTACCCATATATACATCTATATATTCCTATATATACAACTCAGTATGTACGCATACGGTTCGTCTAACTAAAAATTAAAGCTATAATCTATTGTAATATCAGTTTGTTCATTATCTGTTCTACTTATCAGATTTTTACAGATTTTACTCAATTGTATTTATTCGTCGTTGAATATCAGAGAAAAGTGTAAAGCATTATGTTCTAAATATAAATAAATAAGTAGAATCATCAAGAAAGCATGAATTCAGTAATGTGATTGTAGATCTAACATCATAGAGATAGAACTTTAAAGATTTGCATACATGTAAGTCCGCCTTAAGGTATCGATATGTGGAGATGAGTTACCTATCATGGTTTTCAAGACTCATGCTCCAAAGATAGTAATAATCAATAATAGTACGCACTCGTGTCTTACGTTAACCTACCTTTCGGTGAACAATTCGATGTAAAATTCGGTTCTATAAATAAATAAATTAAATAGGAATCGGTAGGTGGAGTGATATATGTGTATAATACAATGTATTATAACATGGACAAACGCGTATTTTAACATGGACAAACATATACAGAGAAGTCCAAATATGGTGTATTTATATATCAATAATAAATAAATAAATAATTAATAACAGAAAAAAGAAAGAGTTGGTGTATATATGTATTTTATTTCTTCTTCCGTCCATCTAAATCCTGTAACAGACGTTAGTCGTAATAAATAGTAATAATAATGCATCTCAACGTGTGCTCCAAGAGGTTATGTTACCCTATATTATTCATTGATACTATTCATTTATCATTTCAATGTCAATGTAAGCAATTGTTTAAAACACACGTTGAGAATGCCTAACTGTGGACCTCTCTGTGTTTATACAATAAACAAAACAAGAACAAATAAACAAAGAGGTAGTACTTATTGCAAAGCAAAGTAACGGGACATGAGTCTAGCTATCTAAGATTAAGTTTATATCTCAAAGTGAGATAAGTGAAATAAAATCAGGATATTGCTTCTGTTATGTGTAGCTATTGTTATATAACATTGTCAATTTATCTCTAACTCAGGAATGCATCACTCTATCATGCATAGCCAGCAGGCGCTACATATTCAGGATGTGATCTTTAATGTGTAAATTTATCTGAAACGTATAGCAGAACACGAAATATGCGAAAATCTCAGTCAAGATACAAATAGTTGTTATTAATTAATGTTGCCAGTGTACAAATATCCCAGAAAACAGACGTCTTACAATACTTGGTGGTAAAACCACCTGATGCCCAAGGTATAGTTCAACTGCCAAAGAAAATTTGACTATGTGTATAAGGAGTGTAAAATATATAATAAATATTGCTTTTATAGTATGTAAATATTGCTATTCAGTGTTATTAATGTGAATTTGACCCAGAAAAATGTCATTCTTCCACACACAATGTCCATATCCTTCGACATCGAAACACAATGCTTAGTATGTAAGTTTACTGATTTTATGTGACAAAAGTGTAAAGTATATAGGAAAAATTGATTGAAATATGTATAATTGTTAAGATTTAACATTGCCAGTATGTATTCATACCAAAAAATATAGTTGAACTTCTCAATGTAAAGATATGACTTGAAATCCAGGAAAAAACTGATTATGAATATCAGAAGGTGTGAAATATATAGAGATATTGTGCCTATCATGTATAAATATTCTTGTATAGTAATATTGATGTAATTTTATTCCAGAAATATATCATTTTCAAAAATATAATATTCAAATCCTTTGATATCGAAGCACGACACACAGTATGCGAAACAACTAATCTTGCGGAACAAAAACATGAAATATATAAAGGGAGTTAATGAAAATATGTATAATTGTTAATGATTAACATTTCCAATGCATGTCCATTCCAGAATATGATCATCTTTAAAGGTCTGGTAGTTGGACCATTTGATATTAAAATATGACTTGAACAAACAAGAAAAAACTGATTATAAGTATCAAAAAATGTAAAATACATAGTAATATTACGTCTGTCATGTTTAAATTTAACTGTTCAGTGATATTAATGCGAATTTGAGCCAGAAATATGTCATTTTCCAAGATGTGATATTCAAATCCTACGATATTGAGACATAATATTTAGTATGTGAATTAACTGAATTTATATAACAAAAATATGAAATATATAAGAAGAATTAATTAAAGTATGTATAATTGTTAATAATTAACATTGCCAAAGTATGTAAACTCCAAAATATGGTCATCTTTCAAGGTCTGGTAGTTGGACCATTTGATATTAAGATATGATTTGA